GGAGGCAGGATGAAGAATTGCTTGCTGATACACTGAAAAAGAAGGATCAGAGAAAGAGAGAAGGGAAAGATGACGGGAGCGTAAATATAATGTAAAATGGAATGATGACGTTATTCAAAAGGACATGGAGGTATTTAGAATTCAATAGCTTCTGTTATCTTATAAACTTCCAACGTATGTATATTTACCATTTACTTGTCTGTAAGAGAGAACTTGGGGCAGATAATTTATCCAGTTTAAATACTAGTTTATTATATTTTTTTGTTATTATGTTATATTATTTTAATTTTGGTTTGAATTAGTTTATTATATTTTATTTTAATTCTTTAATTTGTTCAAATTATTCTTATATTAAGGTTGAAATTAAGTGTTCAACTATGTTGCGTTATTATATTTATCATTGATATTGTTGTATTGAATTTGTAATGGAGTTTTGAAATATTTATTTTATTATGTTGTAAATATATAATTATGTGTGACATATGCATGAAATTAGTTTCATATTATTAGTTTATTTAATAAACGGTTTGACCAGTTGAACCAATTGAATCTTAACCCAAATGTTTTACGGGTATGATCTATGGTCCAGTTTTTAAAATATTGATTTTAATAATTAATTATAATTTTATTGGTAATGATTATTACAAGTTGAACCAAACCAACGTGGTATAATTTAGTGGAGCTTACGAACCATGATGAATATCCTAACTCACTTAGGAAAGAAAAAAAGAATGTGGTGTATATAAGATGCATTTAAAAGTACATTTCCAAATTTTAAGAGTAGTAGGAGTGCGAGGAGAAATTTTTATCCCATACCCCTTCATTTACTCTTCTATCCCTACATTATATTCTTTGGACTAAAATGCCCTCACGTAAATTGTTTATTTGTTTCATTTTTTAAAACTTTTTCTCTCATTTGCATCTGAAGACTTTCGAGACAGTGAAAAATAATTTGTTTATCAGAATCTCTTTTTACAAGTTATCTGATACACATTCAGTAAATCGAAACTGAAAGAGTAAGTTATTCGATTCTTTTTACTTATCGAAATACTTTGGATAAGATATTGGGTACCCAAAATGTTCTAAAACTCTTCTTAGAAGCAATCATATTTATTGAAATACTACATCAAAAGTGTTTAAATTTTCTTTTTTAAATTTTTGTTTAAATTTTCTTTAATGTGTTATTTATTTATTTTGTTACTCTACCTTTTTTCTTCTAAATTGTTTTTTTTTTACTCCAAATGACTCTTCATTAAGTCTTCTGATATAAAAAATATATAAATACCAAATATCTTGAAATAAAGAGTTTTGGTGTACAAAAATTTTAAATGGAAAGTTTTTTTTCAATTGTTCAAAATATTAAAATATAAAAGTAATACTGGAACACATTTTCAAATTGTTCGAAATAAAATAAGAAAGTACACCAGATAAATTATTACAAGTTATTCGATATACAAAAGTTACGCATCAAAATTCGTTTTAGATGTTATTCGATACACATACGTAGGGGTATAATTTTTCAAAATTTTCAAATAAATAATAAAAAATAAAATAATAAATTTGTTAAAAACATACGAGGAGAAAGTTGACAATTTTCATAAAATATGGGATATGACAATAAGTGCAGAGATACGGGGTAAGACTTAAAATAACTCCTCTAATTTGTATGGGCTCATAAAAGAGCCCAATATAATTTTTACGGGCTTATGGAAAAGCCCAATATAGTTCTTATAAAATCTATCAGAAAGACACTGTTTCCGAAAAAAAACAACAAAGATAAAAAGAACAATCACCGCAAAACTATAAATTTTTTTGAAGACCTTTTTTCAAGAAAATATATCACAAGTTTACTCGATTTTCTCTAATTTTATATTCACATTAAAACACAGTTTAAACAAAATATTAAATATTTTTAATGTGATAAATTTTGTGAGAAAAAAAATGATATTAAACTTTTCATGTTCTGATTTCGGCTACCATCTGTGATAATTTTGAAAAAGAAAAACAATAAAAGATTATTGTTAGGGATCAATCTAGTCTATAGCATAATAGAATAATTTCCTTGCCTAATGTGTATACATACAAAATTATTGAATCAATATTGTATAAAATGTGTATATACTTTTGTATTGAATCAATATTAATTCTATAAAGACTATTTAGTTAAAAGCACTACTAAAGTTTATTCAATTAACACAATAGTATTACTAAAGATATAAAATTATAACTAAAATTATTCCATATATAATAATGTCAATCATTAATAAAATGTAGATAAAATAGTAGCTCTATGTGTGTATGAAAATATACGGTGTGAGTTATATTAGTAAGACCGTTTCAAACAATTTAGAGGTTTCGTTTTAATTTTAAAAACCGATCCATAGTAAAAAAAAAAAGATCGCATAGAATTTAAAAATATTAGTTTTTTATTTAAATTAAACTATTTAGAGGTCTTATTTGAATTAAACTATTTTACTATTTTTTAAATTATTTCATTTGTGAAATCTCTCAATCAATTATCAAGATCTTTTTCATATATATATATATATATATATATATATATATATATATATATATATATATATATATATATATATATATATATATATATATATATATATATATATATATATATATATATATATATATATATATATATATATATATATATATATATATATATATATATATATATATATATATATATATATATATATATATATCTTTCTAAATATTTTAAAGATTTGCAAATATACACATACAATACATCACTTCTTCAATTTACAACTTTATTAATTTATTTGTTTTCCATTCTCTTTCTGTCGTCTCTTTCTCCCTTCCTTTGATTTTAAATCTGACACTTTTATAAAAAAATGGAGAAATTACTCTATAAACATCTCATAAATATATACTTTGTTAATGTCTCTTATTTATTTATTTGTACCAATGTAGATTTGATTTCTCATTAAAATTTACTGTAAATCATTTCTTAAAATTTAATGTTTATTAAAGTTTAATTTAAAACATTTTTAACTTAAACAAAATTTTTTATCTAAACTTAATATAAAATTCCTTTTATTAAAATTTAATAAAAAAAACTTAAATTTTTTCTAAATTAAAACTTTTTTTAACTCATCTTTAAAACTTAAAATTTAAAAGCATTTCTAAAACTAAAATCATTTTTATTTAAAATTAACCAAAACCCTTTAAAAATATATATATAAATTATAATTAAAAACTGTTTTTTTGTAATTAGCTTTAATAACATGTAGTTATATTTTTCTGATAACTGATAGAAAAAAACATTTTTATAACTTATAGTTAGTAAAAAAAATTTAACTTATAGTTAGTATTTTTTATGATTCAAAAGTTAAAATTATAATCTTTTAGTAAAAATTTGAAAAATAAAACTTCTTGATTTAGTCGTTTCAGTTTCATCTAATTTCCGCCAGCTTGTTTGTTTCAGCTTATCGTCATTTCATTTATTCTTATTATTTTTGTTCCATGGATGTAATTTACGCGAGGCCATGGTCGCGGCTTTTTATTTTTGCGTTTGTTTTTGGGGTTTGTAATTTACGCGAGTGATCGTCGCGACGCTTTCTTTACTTTCTACACTTTAATTTCTCCATATGATGATATGTGTTGCTTGCATGTTTTACCGTTATACCTTCCGAAGGATTAGGTCTAACCGTTTGACCACCGAGTCAATAGTCTTAACCCTTTTGAACATTTCAAAACCCTAATTAGCCTAGGCGTCCCGCCGTGGACGAAAATGCCCTTTCACCCTAGCTTTAGGTCAAAGAGTCGCCGTACTCTGTTTTAGGGTTTCCCGCCGTGGAACATTTAGTCAACCCTGATTTTAACCCTAATTTCATTCAACATTTCAACGTAGAAATAGGAGTTTTGAACTCCACGTAAGCAAGCGGTTCCTTAAGAAACGCTTATTCCCCCATTGAAACCTTGATCACAGTCAAGAAGTTTCTAACCTCCCTTTAGAGGGGAACTACAATTACTCTGATTCCATTCCCGTCAGGATATATAGGCACAAGATGCGACGTCTTGCCGAGTAAACTTAGGACTAACCCTTAGGTCTTTTAGGTCACTTTATCCCTTAGCTCAATATATACTTAAAGCAAATAATAAAATAAAATAGAAAAAATAAGCAAAAGGTTCTTGTAGAGTACTACAGAAGTTTAGGGTGTTAATACCTTCCCTAAGCTTAACCAACCCATTACCTAGATCTCTCCCTGCATTGTGTTTACAATGCAAAAATAGGTTTTACCTCTTTTGACCTTTTCCTTCGGATAAATCAAAGATCGGTTGTGAACTAAAGATGTGATTCAAATTAATTAATAATTTAATATCCTATTCTAACCGCAACAGTGAGGAACCACTCAGTATTGCCTAGCACTCTATCAATTCTTGAGTAAATGGGACCAGCTGTTTGTTTATTGAACCGAGTGAAATGACCCCCAATGTTATCCTTTTACTTAAACCAGTGTTCCTCATCATATTTGTCAGGTGTACATATTCTCTCTCAGTCACTAGATTCCCTCCAATTCTGTCTTGAGATTTGCTTACATCGTTGTAATCACCAATAACACACCAAGGGCCTTGGCTGCTAACAGATATGTGTTCAATTTCTGTCCATAAGGTTTTCCTTTGGTTTAGATGGTTATAGGCATAAACAACAGTAAGCCAGTGTTTGAAAACTCCACAATTATCAAAGACACCACAGTGTATACATTGGCTGCTACTTCGAATGAATTTCACATTTACCCTGTTAACATCCCAATGAATCCAGATTCTACCATTTGGATGGTCTTTTTAGTTGTCAATGTGATTTCCATATATCATAAGTTTCTCGCGGATGGTTTTGGCTTTGGTTTCTTTAACTCTGGTTTCTATCAAAATAATAATAGCAGGCTTTAGCTCTTGGAGACGGGACCGAATCTCACAAATTTTGCCTACTTTATTGAGTCCCCTTATGTTCCATGAGACTAACATGGTTCGAGGCTGATGGTCACTTGATGGTCATTCAAAACCTCAAGTGCCTCAAAACCATTGTTACAGTTGATGTTGTTGTTTGTATCAATAGCTATAATTTTACCTTTATCCCTAACAGACTTCCGTGCTCTTGTCCAAGAATCACTTCTGATTCCTGTTGTTTCCTCTCTTTCTGGTGGTTTTCCAGGCGTTATGTTGGTGGACATTTTAGGTGGCTTGAGCTTTGGTTTCCATTGTTGCTTCTTCCCACGCTCTTCACATTTATGCCCTATTTTCTGACATGTATCACAGAATTTTTGTTTCCATTCGTAACTCGCAGGCTGCATTATTATATCGCCTTCAACATTCCTAATGGTTATTTCATCAATCAGAGGTTGTGTAATGTCTACCTCAATCAGTAATCTTGCATATGAGACACGAAGTTTATTTGCAGTGCATTCGTCAGTCACCAACGGTTTGCCAATAGCGCTTCCAATTTTGCTGAGACGTTTTGCCCCCCATAGATGAGGGGAAGTTGGGGAAGTTTGACCCAAATAGGTAAGGTTCTTAGCAGATCCTTTTTTAAGTTGAAACCAGTTTGCCATTCCTTCAATATCACGGGGCATGTTTTGAATCGTGTAAGGCCCTTTCATCATGACTGCTTCCTTGTCTTCTTGGGAGCTAAATCTGATCAGAAAATATTCGTCATCATGATAATACAAATCTGGCATCTTCACGAAATTCCACATTCTCTGCATAAAGTTCTTCACCGTGTTTATACTCAGGTCATCCCTCACAACATAAAGGATTAGAGCATTATCCCAAAATTGTATTTCTGTTTCAATATCTTCTTGTTCAATGTCAATTTCAATCATTCCATTGATGAGCTTTGGCGCAACATATTCTATTGACATTCCTCTTGCAGGGTTCCGGTTGTCATTGATTACATCAACCCATGGTTTACGTTCTTCAGTTTGGGTTTTTGACGGTTCTGTTAGGGTTTCACTGTTCTCTCTCGCCAGCGCATTTGTAGTAGCTTTGTCTTCTCCGGCGATGGTTCCTGAAACATTCCCAGGTTTCTGAACACTAATAGTGGTGTTACTTGATTCAGGCTCAAGTGTCTTCAAGTTAGTGAGAGTTTCCTGTGACGGTGGCACTGTTGATTTCGGCCGTCCTCGTCCCCTTTTCGTTGTCACCATCTTCTACTAAATCTGTTCAAATTATTCTTATATTAAGGTTGGAATTAAGTGTTCAACTATGTTGCGTTATTATATGTATCATTAATATTGTTGTATTGAATTTGTAATGGATTTTGAAATATTTATTTTATTAAGTTGTAAATATATGATTATGTGTGACATATGCATGAAATTAGTTTCATATTATTAGTTTATTTAATAAACGGTTTGACTAGTTGAACCAATTGAACCTTAACCCAAATGTGTTACCGGTTTGATCTATGGTCCAGTTTTTAAAATATTGATTTTAATAATTAATTGCAATTTTATTGGGGATGGTTATTACAAGTTGAACCAAACCATTAATGTAGTATAACTTAGTAGAGCTTATGAACCATGATGAATATCCTAGCTCACTTACGAAAGAAAAAAGAATGTGGTGTATATAAGATGCATTTAAAAGTACATTTCCAAATTTTAAGAGTAGTAGGAGTGTGAGGAGAAGTTTTTAACCCTTACCCCTTCATTTACTCTCCTATCCATACATTATATTCTTTGGACTAAAATGCCCTCACGTAAATTGTTTATTTGTTTCATTTATTAAAACTTTTTCTCTCATTTGCATCTGAAGACTTTCGAGACAGTGAAAAATAATTTGTTTATCAGAATCTCTTTTTACAAGTTATCTGATACACATTCAGTAAATCGGAACTGAAAGAGTAAGTTATTCGATTCTTTTTACTTATCGAAATACTTTGGATAAGATATTCGGTACCCGAAAAATTCTAAAACTCTTTTTAGAAGCGATCATATTTATTGAAATACTACATCAAATCTTCTTAGAGGCTGAGTAGAGTCTTGACCCTTGAAGTAAAGTTGTAGAGGACATCAAATGTGACATTTGGCTCAAATAAAATGCCAAAAAGGTTAAGAAATGAGAGAGCTATGGTATTTGGAGCAAGTGACATGCCATACTTGATTTTAGGTCAACCAACAATGTGCCAACTTGAGATGTCTTGCTTTTTTCTTGCATCCAAAGGCCCAATGATGAACACTTGAATACCAAATGAAGGGAGCTTGATTTCCCTTTGGGAAATCTTGATAATTTCCTTGAGAATTGGATGAAGATGACATGTAAATAAACACATGAGCCATGCTTTAATCATCTTTGGAATCATGTACCAAACTTGAACTTCTCTTGTTCAAATGATGTTGAATGAATCTTGACATGAATGTGACCTAAGATTATAGGTCATGCCTTGAGATAAAAGCTCTTGTGGCCCATTTATTGACAATAACTTTGACTTAAGGAACCAAAAGCCTAATTTAGAAACCATTATTGATTCTTTGATTATAAGCCTCTACCTTGTATAATAAAAAAAAAGGAAACAACACATATTTTTGTATTTTTGAATAAGGTTAGTGGTGTTAGAATGTAACCAAGCAATAAGATAACAAAGAAACACAAAGGGTGCTCGGTGATCTCCTACAAAAGTCAAACCCAAGGAGAGGGTTATGAGGACACCATGCTTGTGATTTTGATGAAACGCAAATGATATGATAGGTGAAATCTTAGGGATAAAAATTAGGGTATGACATCGAGCATAATGTCGAAATATATTAACTTGTAATTTAAGTTAGTATGTCAAATTGGGTCTTGCTTCTAAGTCCAATTGTTAAGTTAGCTTGTATCTTAAGTTAACTTAGTAGTCTATAAATAGACTAGTTCTCTCAGGTTGTTGAGAGAGGTTAATTGTTAGTATTCACTTGTAATCTTTAAACCCTTATTAACAGAGTGAATAGAAAAACAGATTTAACCAATTCTTATTCTTTTTCTTCCTTATTCTATCCCTTTTATAAAACCTAATATGATTTCTTACGTTTGTTCAAAAAATTCAATATTTTTCTCATATTTGAATTTGTTCTTGACAACATCAATTTACAATAAAAACAAAGGTGGGGACACGAGACTTCAATTATCTCTTTTCTCATTACTATGGGATCAAACCTCTTTGTGAGAAGAATAGAGATCGAATAGTGTTGCAAGACGCTACCGTAAGAACTTGTTTTCTCTCATCTTCTAACCCTTTTTATCAGTGTCACTAATAACCCTTTTACCATTATATCATTATGTGCTTTTATAGAATTCCCACCTTAAAAACTTATTTTAGCACCTTCCCTAACTTTGAATTAACAAGTCACTTTTGAAAATCTATCCCTTATCTACTTTGGAAGATTAACATATGTCTTACATTCTCTGATACTAACAATATCTTGTTCATTCACACAAAAGTTTTTTTTTCCTACTCACCTGCTCAAAAGTTTCACACATAATTACAATACTCTTGAGATACATACAAACCACACTATTTCCGATCAATTCACATATTACATGACATCCCTTTTATTATATTTGTCTTAAACACATTATTTCAAATCAATTCACATATTGCATGATATCCCTTTCATTATATTTCTTTTCAAGACAACGAAGAAACCACTCTTCCTCCCATTTTTTCTCTCTCTTAACATAAACATATTTTAATTCATATACAATTAATTAATTTTAAAATAAAAATTTTAATTTGTTTTTTAATTTTATTTGATTATTCAATCTATTATAAATTTTAATTTAATAAATAATTAATATAATTAACTAAATATATATCATACATAATAATTATTAAAATATAAACGTAAATGATTTAAATATAAAATATTTTAATAACAAATGTATATGAAGGAAAAGGTGACCGCACATATACAAATATTCATTATTTTTTTCTATTAAACAAATCTCCATTGGGCGTAATCATCATTGCTTGTAATTTTGTTTTTAAATTATTTATTGATTTATTGAGACAAATTTTAATTATCAACAGAGACAGGAAAAAAAAAACTCCAAAATAAGAGGGGTGCGTCGAAAGTACCATTTGTATTTTAATGGTTAAAAACTGTCTAAATAAGATTTATGATTTGAATTCATTTAAAAATCAAAATTGTCTAATAATTTATCTAAACTTACCTATAAACTTATTCATTCACACAATTTTTTTTTCTATTATACCCACTATTTCCAATAATTCACATATTGCGTATACCCCTTTCATTATATTTCTCTTCTCTCCAAGAAATTGAAGACATCACTCTTCTTTTTCTTTTTTTCTTCTCTCTTTTAATCTTCACTACACCACAATAAGTTTGACTTTTTTAATCACTATAAATTTTACTCTTTATTTCTTTTCTCACTCACTAAGGAAAAACATAATTGCTTATTTTTCTTATTGTTCTTCTCTCATTAAAAAATTTGGGCCTTATTGTTCATGCTATCCTCATCTCTAGCATTTTTGAGTTGGATGTGGGTCTGAGACTCCTTTTCCTCTAGATTACATATATTTCTAACCCATTTGATGTTTATGTTTTTATACGAGGTTCTTAATTTAACAAAATCAACAATAAATGTATAAACAATTTTTTAACACAAACATATATTATCTTTTTAAAATGACAATGTGAAGCTTATAAATATTTTACTATTACAATTTTTTTAAATATATATTATTTTATCTATTTATTTTTAATAATTTTTTTAAAACAAATATGGTTTGTATTCTACTTGATTCTTTAACAAAATATTAAATTGACTAATTTTATTATATTTTGATTAATAAAAAATTGTATATTTTATTATAAATGAAAAATACTCCTACTATCCATATTCTCTCATTCTTTTCGGAAAAGACAAGATATATCAATTAAAAAAGAGCTCATAAAGGTTAGGATGTAAATGTCCACCTTTAAAAAGGTTATTAGGATTATAAAAATGATTTCAAATGATTACTATTTTTTATATTGAAGATAATAATAAGGTGTTATTAGTAGGTAATAAAAATGATTTCAAATTATATTTTTTTATATTGAAGTTAATATGGGAACTAAAAATTAAAAAAATAGAATTCAATTAGAAAATAAATTTAAATTATATAATTGATTTTAATATGGATCATTTTCAAAATTAAATAAAAAATTAGTTTTAAAAAATGGCTTTATCAAATAGTATAAGATAAGGAGAATAAGTAGATAAAAGAAACTCTTAGTATAGGAATACGTAGTATTTGATTAAATTATTATAGTATACTATAGTATAATAATATGGAGAATAAAATTTGACTTTATCAAATGGTATATGATAGTATTTTTTAGTATAAAAAATATAAATATAAATTATATTATTAATTTATTTAATTAAAATTTTAAATTATAAAAATGATTAAAACGTTTTATTGAAGCGGTTAATATATAAACAATTATACTATTAATGTTATTTAAATATGAAATTTCAAACCATTAAAATATAATACATTATTTTTTATTGCCACATCTCATTTACCATTGATTAATTTCCTTTAAACTCTTTGGTGGTGACTTTGGAAATCAACTCTAAACAGTTTCAACCATAGTCTATCATTAATAAAAGAAAGTACATGGAGGCGGATGAAGAATTGCTTGCTGATACACTGAAAAAGAAGGATCAGAGAAAGAGAGAAGGGAAAGATGAAAGGGAGCGTAAATATAATGTAAAATGGAATGATGACGTTATTCAAAAGGACATGGAGGTATTTAGAACTCAATAGCTTCTGTTATCTTATAAACTTCCAACGTATGTATATTTACCGTTTACTTGTCTGTAAGAGAGAACTTGGGGCAGATAATTTATCCAGTTTAAATACTAGTTTATTATATTTTTTTGTTATTATGTTATATTATTTTAATTTTGGTTTGAATTAGTTTATTATATTTTATTTTAATTCTTTAATTTGTTCAAATTATTCTTATATTAAGGTTGAAATTAAGTGTTCAACTATGTTGCGTTATTATATTTATCATTGATATTGTTGTATTGAATTTGTAATGGAGTTTTGAAATATTTATTTTATTAAGTTGTAAATATATAATTATGTGTGAAATATGCATGAAATTAGTTTCATATTATTAGTTTATTTAATAAACGGTTTGACCAG